TTTATTAATCTTCAATAATATCATTAATTTCTAATAGTTTAAGAAACAAATAATTATGTTATTTAATTATAAATTATTATTAAAAATATGTATAATATATAAATAATAGAATTGACAAAAAAATTCATGAAAACTATTAACAGATATCACCAAGCGTTTCGGGTTCCATTTTAACCCTAAATGCTCCGGGCATGACGTCGGTATCGATAGATCTCGCACGTATTCCTGGAAAAAGTTTTCAAACCGCAGTATGGGGTCAAACAGTACCAGCTTGCGATTGCGGAGATGAAGTAGCCAAATGGTTGTCACGTTTTCTTCTTCAAGAAGACGTCGGTTTTCGTTTGGTCTATTATCCGTTAGATCGACCAGTGAGAAAAATAAAAAACAAGATCTTCCCTTTGATCGAGAACGCTGATAGCGTGAGTATTTACAAATGCTTTTTTTTTGTTTTTTATTTTCCTAAAATCARTTGACTTTCGTTACGACGACGACAWCTACGAAAACATTTCATTGAATTTGTTTTCGCCAAATTTTCATACTTTTTCCATCAATTGTACTTTGTCATCATGAGCTTCTTTATTTCTCACAAAATACAGCGTATCTTTTTACATAATTTTTCTCATATGAATATGGTCGCATACTCGTTGCAAACGTACTCTACGTATGTTGTTTTCTCTGCTAACAAAGAATGCACGTGAAATCATATACGAATAATTGTTATTATTATTAATTTTATTACTATCATCGTTTTCATATATTACTCATTTGGTACGTTAAAAATAGTGTTATGCGAATTGTGGTTATTGTTTTCATCGAACGTACAATTAATTTTGTTCACATTTATTGATAATTTATCGAACATTTTTATGTTTTTAACAGGGTGCTTATCCCGACGAAACCAGCTATCATCTTATAAATGAGTCGTCCGTAACGGATTTAAATTCTCGATTGGAAGAATCCATAACTTCGTCGTATTTTCGACCGAATTTTGTTGTGAAAAATGCAAACGTTTACGAAGAAGATAGTTGGGATTGGATTAAGATCGGAGACGTTGTTTTTAGAAACGTCAGACCTTGTACTAGATGTAATTTAACTACGATTGATCCGGAAACCGGTACTAAAAGTCCCAAGGTCGAACCTTTAAAGACATTAAAAAGGTATACTAATAATTTTCTTTACACAATTTGAATTGTTGTAATTATTATCAAATTTGATTACTCGATGATATTTAATTTAATTTAATYATTTTTCTTCGAGAACATTTTAATATAGTTCTCATAAATAATATAGAATTTATCAATAACTTATGTGAAATATTCTAATTGATTACTTTTTTTCCAGCTATAGGCAAATTGTGGATCCAAAAATTCRTTCCTTTATCGGTGAGGCTCCAGTTATGGGAATTCATCTTGCTTTGAGAGGACCAAGTGGTGTCATACGTTTAGGTGATYCAGTTTACGTAGATGTTCCGTAGGAGGAAAAAACGCCTGTAATATCGCCACCATAAATACACCGAAGAGTTTCTTGCGAGGATGAGATTATTTGTAACGAAGAAAATTTTCTTGTATGAGATCATAACTCGTGACATGATCAAATGGGAAGAAATCGACAAAAATAATCTTCCCTATGTTTTTCTTATAATTTTACATTCTATTTCGGAAGAAAAAGAAGAAATAGGTTTAATAAGAACCTTTTCAAAGTAATATTTCGGAATAATAATTGTTTATAAGAATTTACTATAATCAGATTGTACGTARTAACATACGTACGTAAMAGAAATGTCTGTTAATTAGAGGATAACTCATTTTGTTGTAATCTATTTGATTAGGTGCGTAGTGACAAAATCAGAGCTTTTATATACTGCCAATTGAATCACAATAAAAACCSTCTGAGTGTCCGTTCAGGACGCACTTTCTATAGAATGCTTATAATAATACAATGACCGTAAAATTTATAATATATTAACTGTTATAATATCATTGGATGAAAGATTCTACCTAGTCACCTGTATGCATTTAACGTAAGAAATAAATCGATTGACTATTAAAAGATTTGTATAGAAAATTTGGGTAATAGTTATTTGTGAGCGTGRAGGTGTGTAATCAACAGATAAAAAAGAGAACAGAGAATTAAAGAGTTAAGAGATAAGACTGATAATATTATACCTYATTATTTTGTAATTAATAAAACTGTGTGAATTATAAGAGTAAGTGAACCGATATTTCTTTAGTCTGTACCTTTTTCTCTCTCTCGTAGGTTAACAAAAAATATTTTTCTCATTAAAAAAAAATTAAACAGAAAATACAGCATTATAGAAAAATAATTTCATTTAAAACGAATTTATACAACGAATAACAAATTTATCGTCTGAATTTGCTGTAATATGATGATAAAGTTTTGCAATAACATATAAAAGTGTGCTAATTTATTATTGCATTTATTGATTACACACGTATCTAAAGTGTAGTTATCCGAAATGATTTCTATAAACATGTTTTATGCTAATTAAATAATATGTATTTTCTCAGAGAAATTTGTATTTTTATATNTCTGAGTGTCCGTTCAGGACGCACTTTCTATAGAATGCTTATAATAATACAATGACCGTAAAATTTATAATATATTAACTGTTATAATATCATTGGATGAAAGATTCTACCTAGTCACCTGTATGCATTTAACGTAAGAAATAAATCGATTGACTATTAAAAGATTTGTATAGAAAATTTGGGTAATAGTTATTTGTGAGCGTGRAGGTGTGTAATCAACAGATAAAAAAGAGAACAGAGAATTAAAGAGTTAAGAGATAAGACTGATAATATTATACCTYATTATTTTGTAATTAATAAAACTGTGTGAATTATAAGAGTAAGTGAACCGATATTTCTTTAGTCTGTACCTTTTTCTCTCTCTCGTAGGTTAACAAAAAATATTTTTCTCATTAAAAAAAAATTAAACAGAAAATACAGCATTATAGAAAAATAATTTCATTTAAAACGAATTTATACAACGAATAACAAATTTATCGTCTGAATTTGCTGTAATATGATGATAAAGTTTTGCAATAACATATAAAAGTGTGCTAATTTATTATTGCATTTATTGATTACACACGTATCTAAAGTGTAGTTATCCGAAATGATTTCTATAAACATGTTTTATGCTAATTAAATAATATGTATTTTCTCAGAGAAATTTGTATTTTTATAT